TATATGTATATGAATTGAATGATATGATATATGTGTGATAGGGGATATTGTATCTATTACATGAATATATGTTTATGTATATGTGAGTGAGTATAAATGACTTATATATGATGATATAAGAAGTTGTTATAAGTTATAGAATATGAATGTAAGAGATCATATGAATAAGAAATAAGAGATATGAAGTATAATAGTATAGAAGCAAGATAAAAACATAAATGATGATATGTATGTAATTGTTATATGAAAAGCATATGAGTGAGATGATTTGATATGATGTGTATGATATGATAATAATAGTTGTTCCTGCATGATTACAAGTTAGAGTTTACATTATATATTTATTCACCTCACTAAGTCATAGACTTAGCGTGTGAGTGTTTCACACGCAGGTTCTTACAAGATTATGGATTGTTGAGGTGCAAGTCAGGTCAGCATTTTTCCTTACAAAGTTTCAGATCAGAAAATAGATGATTTAAATGTATTTTATGGTATAAAAGTCTAGTTGGCATGTATTTAAAAGATTTGAATTGTATAAGCTCTGAATAGTTCTGTAAGCGTTTTGAATAAGTTATATGTTATAAAAGTTTTTAAATTTCTCACTATTTTATACAAGTAAATGTTTTAAAAAGTCAATGTGACACCTCATACTCAGATCCAGGTCGGATTCGGGTTGGGGGTGTTACAGGTTTACACTTCGAACACAGTTTCAAATCTTAGCCAAATCACTTGAGGGTATTTAGGAAGACTAGAGGGGTGTGTGAGATCCAAGATGCAGAACCCTCAGCCACACCATGATGTCTACCTCATCATATTAGATTAATATTCCCATGTCTTTATACATGTTCCACTAGCACACACATTTAGTGAATGCATGTAGTATAGTACTGTTATTAGTGAAGCACTGAACTCGTAAGTTCAGCGTTCGAAATGTGTTTCCTTGCACATGTTATTAGGAGGTCGTCCGATGAGCGCTATCGTTACTAGTTATTCCATCACTATCGAGGCACCAGAGTATGTCTTAATTTGTATTAGAGGGCATGTACTATTGTAGACCCTTCTTATATCATTCGTAACTCTATTTTGTATTAAACTCAGTATTGCTTTATTTTGAATATTTGGAAGCTCCATCATATTTGTAAAATTATATTTATTTTGTCTTTTATTTTATCACTATGGATGATTATCTTATAATGATTATAGTCATTTTACAAAGAATTTTTTTGGTTACCCACTTCGGTGGTCCCGTGTGACATCCTGATTCATGGATCTTCGGTAGGACTGGATTAAGGTGTTACAGATAATGTCTTTGTAATATTTAAATAAACTAGTTGCTAATGACCGTTGGGATCGAACAATGTGATAATAGGGTTATGATATTGATTCTACTATGTAAAGTAGTATCGATACTCCTTTGAGTATCGGTACTATTTTTGCTTACTGGAATTTGAACACCTTTGAAAACAATAAGTAGTATAGGTACTACCAGATGAGTATTGATACCACTTATCTTTGGTATATGTACTACAAGAATAATATCGATATTGTTAATATGGTATCGATACTATAAGAACAATATCAGTACTGCTTACCTAAAAAAATTGGTTGGTCAACGATTTTTGCATGCACGGTTGCTCAAATTTCGCCCACAAAATGCAGACATTTTTTCTTTGAACACATCCTACGAAATTTGATATGATAAGTGTAAACAAATATGAGAAAGGGCTTTATGATGCTTATTGTTTTTCTTCGTTCTTCCATCGTGTTACCGGCTTCTCATGAAATCCTTCTATTGCATCGTCTAGATCTAATTGTGCAAGAACATTCTAAATCTTCACCTGCTACAACGAGTTTCTGGTGTTTCGATGCAACAACGAAATATTATACTTCATTGCTGCCATAATCTTGAACCGGAAGCTCTAATACCAATTTGTTATAATATCGGAATGATTATCAGCAAACAAATAAATATGATAAAAAAAAGAACACCAAGATTTACGTGAAAAACTTAAAAGGCGAAAACCACAAGCATTGGAGAAGAATTTCACTAATATGAATGAAGAAAATACAAGAGGATTTTGGAGAAAGAAAAACTTGATGTCTAACTCTTGACCCTTAGTTATCTCCCCATATCGCTATTGAAGCAGTTCATCTCCTAAAAATGAAGACTCATTAGTTATAGAAAATTAATAGATATATGGTTATTGATATTGAAAATAGTAAAAAACGTACACATACGAATGATAAGTTTACATTGATCATTCTTTTTATATTTTTCATGATAATTTGGAGTGATATGTCGAGCATATATCAATGAAAGATATGTGGAGGTTTCCAAGCTCGGCTCAACTAATCGATCGCTATACTAATCTCAGGCTCAGCTCCTCTATCAGAAATTTTGCATATTTCATCTTTTTTAACAACATACTTGCGAAAGTTATAGAGGACAAACGTCCAAGATTCAGTATCCTCCTTCTGAACAATGGTGAATGCCATTAGAATAGTTTTTCGATTATTGTCTTACACAACACACAATAACAATGTTTGGGGTGTATTTTTCATACATATAAATCCTTACAGTATTTGAAAACATCAATGCATTGAGAAAATATCCACACACAAAAAATCCGGCACTTGTCTCAAATAAAACGATCATCGAAGTAGGTTGTGACGATAGCCAACTTAATGATAATTCCAGGGATGTATCTCTTCATAACTATCAAGTCAAGTTCGGAGTTCTTTGTAAGATTCATCACATTCATCGTACAACTTCTGAATGGCCATATCTTTAGCATGTCATGTTTTCTTGTATGATACAATGTATTCGTATTGAACTTTAACGATGTCTACAAAAATCACAATGTTTATTCGAGGGATTGCTTTTACTATTGGTAGGAAAGTTTCAGAAATGATTTTTGCATCGAGGTTATGATGACCTTGACTCCTACCACCAACATTGTATATATAAGGTCTGTTATTTCTCATATGTTTTTCTTTTCTTTGGAGACAAATTATCCAATTATAGCCTCGACTTTTATTGATACATTCACAAACATACTTAACGTCGTTAACCCTCTTTATTATGAAAGTAACCGAGTTGCGTACGTTGTAATTATTGGTTACAACCATTGCAAGTTCTCTGATTAAAAAAAAACTTCATTATAATATTTAATTTACCAACACTCAAACCGTAATATTATAATAAATATGACGATGAATCTCATACTCATCACATCTAACATTATCTCAATCACCATATACATAGAGGCACTCGAACCCTAAGAGAGAAGGTTCTTCCTCCATCCTTCCAAACCTCCCATGGCTTCAACCAAGAATCCACCATAGTTGAGTAAATGATTTGTTTAAGAAATAATATGAAAAATAAAGAAATGGGGTTCTCGAAAAATTAATTAGAGAAATTGATCATTTTGAACACTAATTGTCAAATTCGTCCCCAATTGTGAAAGATTTTGGAAAATTCATATTCTGTTGGGCAAAAAAAAAAAAAAAAAATTGACACCCTAAAGTCGTTGACGATCGATTTTTCAAGACGTGAGTAGTTGATTTATGTCCCTAAACACGGACCAACACCAATGGTTTTATTATTTTCCAATCATATTATAATGAAGAGTAAATTACGTATTTAGTATTTAAACTATCAATTTTAATCTATTTTAGTATCTAAACTTTTAATTTTTTTAAAATCATGCCTAAGGTTTAATTTTTCTTTCGTTTTAGTACTTCACCGTTAAAATTTAACGGGTGATTATCACATGACACATTTTTTATAGATAATTTGCATCATTCATCACTCAACTATCTTTTCAATCTTATTTTGATCACTAAAGTTTAATTTTTTTTAATTTAATTACTTAATTTCAAATTACTCCTAATTTAATCACTCTAACTTCTAAACTTATTTTTTAATTATATATAATAAAATAATAATAAAAATGTCATTTCACAAAAATAATTAATAAAATAAATTAGATTGATTAGAATAGCAGTAATTTGAAAGTTGAGTAGTTAAATTGAAATTTTTTAAACTTTAGTACCAGAATAGAAGTGAGAAGATAGTTGAGTGACGAATGATATAATTTACTCATAAAAAACTGCAATGCTGTCAACGGTGAAGTACTAAAATGAAAAATAAATAAATGTTTGGCATGAATTTGAAAAAAAATAAAAAATTTAAATACTAAACCAAAACCGACAGTTTAGGTACTAAATTTGTATTTACCCTAAAATGAATTGCAGGTGTGCCATAGTCTGATGTTGTGAACCTGCGTATTCCATAAAACAGTTGAGCATCAAGGATTTATTCTTTTCTAACCGTCTTAAAATGGTGAAGAAACCTCCAAACATGATGACATTTCACCATAAATTGTTCATCAGCTTGAAGTTTTAAGCATTCTCATCTTTCATCTACTTTCACCAGTAAAGCATTTGCATCGAGGATAAATGGTGCAACTCATAAAGGAAATAGTTGCAGAAGACGTTCTTCATCTTTCACATGAATAAAGATGCAAGCTCTTTAAGACCTCAAGGAAATACTATAAATAAATAAACGAACGACGATGCATGTTAAATAAATAAGCTCTTGTAGCCTGTTCTTTAGCTACTTCTTTCCTGAAGACAAATCTTTGGACAAATTAGGAAGCAACGATTATTTGCAGCTCAAGATATTGTTTCTTTAGGGCACGTAAAATTGCTTGTGAAGTTAATCTTGGTATATATATAATTCTCTTATCTGCAAAGCAATAGACATTAAACAGTTTAACCTATCAGTTTCTTGTGCGTTAAGCATGGGAACCTAGCCATTTATTTTATACTGAGACCAGAACAAACACTGAGAAGAGTAATTTTTCCAAGGATATACAGATTCTAACATTATTGTTAACAAAAAAATTGAAATCGTAACAGATAATAGCTTTCCCCCAACTTTTTCATGTGTCTAACAATGGGTAAAGCAAACACAATGCAAACCTAAGAACTTGATGATTGATATCGTCAGGATCAGCAGGACCAGAGTAAGCTCCATTAACCGCACATACAGCAGCAGCACATTGCATTTCATCCCTTCGGCACGGTAATATTTGGGCAACCCTAATGGTTACCAAGAGATTGGAGTTCCGTTTACAAGCAAGCTCTGCCAGTCAAACGCTATGATTTGGTCTTGCTCATAACTGTAGGTGTGACCGAGACGACCCCTATAAGGAAAAGAGTGGCGATTGAGTTGAAATCATAAAGGTCCCCGACTGATTGTAACTCGCCAAGAGCTATTCCAGCCTGCAGAAGAAACAGATAAGTTTGCAATATTGAAGTAAAAAGAGTGGCATTTAAGTGAGCTTCACTGCAACTTTTACATGGAAGTTCCAAAGTTAGATACCCTGACAGTTATGTAAGCAGCAGGGATGAGTCCAATAATCGTTGCCAGGAAGAAAATATGGTAAGGCACGTCCACAATAGGTGAAGCTACATTAATGAATGTATTTGGCAAAGTTGGAGTAAGCCTAAGGAAAAGCATATAGTTCAACATACGCTCCCTTCTTTGAGCTACCTGCAAGCATGGAGTTGAGTTTATTCCATTTTCCTTATCTCAATGTAACAAAGATAGTTTGAATAGGAATTGAAAATCAGCATTTTTTCAGAAATATCACCGGTGATCGATATATTTACCGATCTAACACCGGTCAGATTATATTTTTTGATTTAACACCCGTAGCAGTAAAACGCGCCCCCTGACTCTCGTTATATGTTGATTTGGTGTCACGTGGGGTATAGCGCGCCCCCTTCACTGCGCTATACGCTGACTGGGTTACAGGTGACTATAGCGCGCCCCCTGCTCCGCGCTATACTTATTTATCTAACACGTGGAGTATAGCGCGTACAGGGGGCGCGCTATAGCTTTAATTACCCGACCGTTCACATCCTACCCTTCCCTATAAATACCTCATCCTCAATCACTTTTATCACACCAAATTCTCTCAAATACTCTCTCGTTTAAAGTATATTTTATAATATTTTTAATGTTATGTATTTAATTTATTTAAGTATTTTACTTTATTTAATATTTTACTAATATAAATTTTTTGCAGATATATAATGGAAGGTGTCTACTTCGCTTAAATGGAAATCATATATCTCGACACTTTGCTGATACGGTAACATTTTAGCGTTTTAATTTAATTTAAATTATTAGTAATAATTTGTTGATTTATTTAATGCATGATTATTAGATTAAGAATAAATTTTTTGCAGATATATAATGGAAGGTGATCTTCTTTGCTTGAAAACTTTATGACTAAAGATAACTCACCATTATTTATTAATGAGTAATATCCATTGTCACCAAGATGAGGCATATCCGCAAATTTTGGCTCGTATATTCCATCATAATCAGCTTCATACATGTGTGGAGGAGGGTCAGTTTGTGCCACATTTCCTGGAACTACATCATCATCGTAGTTGAATCTTCCTTGAAATCTTCGTTATCAACTCCTCAAGAGTTATGTTTCTCTTTAATGATATTTTAACACGCTCATTTGATACGAAAACGTCAGTTTCATCTTCTCGAATTTCACCATCATAATAAACAATAGCTGAAAGTCACGCCATTCTTTGAGTTTAAAAGTGCGACAATATTATATCTGCAAAAAAAATAACTGAAATAAACCTGATTAAATAAATTATATATGAACGAAAATATAACACAATAAATTTTTTCACATCAATGTAAATAATTTAAATAATATAATTTTATATTATTACCTGCACCGTAAAACTATTTCGAAGTATACTCTCGCTTTTCAATTTTACAAACATAAAAATTAATTAAAAATAATTAATATAATATTTTTCAAACAATCATAATAAATAATAAGTATAATAAAAAAATTTATAACAAAATTACCTTATAACGAAAAATCGCACGAACTTCTAAACTAAATATGAGAAGATTGCCAAAATTATTGACTCGTTGACGAAATTGTTGTATTAATTTATAAGTTGAGAGGAGAGATGCGAGGAACATAACCGGGAGAGAAGGGTATATATAGTCATACAAGTCGCGATACCTGCACCGCGATATATGTAATTATGGTATAGCGCGGATAATTGTCTAGATACACAGATATAGCGTGGTTTAGGGGGCGCACTATACCCCACGTAGTTCCAAATCAGCATATAGCGCGGTACAGGGGACGCGCTATACCCCACGTGGCATCAAATCAGCGTATAGCGCGGGTCAAGGGGCGCGCTTTACTGCTACGGATATTAGATCGAAAAATATAATCTGACCGGTGTTAGATCGATAAATATACTGGTCATCGATGATATTTCGGAAAAAAACTCCTTGAAAATCACCTGGTCTTGGAAGAAGCTCAGCTTGTCGGGCCAAAGGGAAAACACAAGGGGCCGCCCTATTACTTTTGACAGGAAATAGCAAGAGGAAGCACCAGCGGTGGTGAACACAACGAGAGCTACACCTTTGAAGAATCCAAACAGGGATCCGGCAAGCAATGACATGAAAACGGTCCCCGAAATCATGAAAGTTTGCATGAAAATATAGACTACACAATACCCCACCAATACTTGTATGGTGTAGTCACTGGTGTAGGTTTCAAGGTGATCCCTACATGATACGTTTTAGGGAGGAAAAAAAGAAAAATCAACATATAACAAAGGAATACCAAATACACCTCAAAGAGGAGATAATACAGCCAGGGATGGACCGAGGAGATAACACAAATTTATTAAGTGTCAACACTTTATGCGTGCACCTCGTTTGTGCATTCATCCTGCACAATAAGTATCGACACAAATTACACAAGTGTCGATACATTATGTTGACATGTTTTCTAATTAACCGGTATATTTATATCGGTTACATTGTTAATTTACCTATTACATTATAATTATTGGTTTTGATGTTTTTTGGGTCGATACTTGTATAAAATGTATCGACAAATATTTAGGCACTTATTGTACATACCTAAATATGTACTGCGAATTTAATGTTGTACCCACCCTTTAACTACCACTACCAATACCACATCCTATTGAAAGCAACACGACTGAAACATGTTCAATGAACCTTTGCTTACATCTCCATCAACTCACTGAACTTGCACAACAAAATTTTTGACATGGATCATACTGATGCAGACAATGTTAAGCCAACCGAGGAATGCCATGAAGTACATAATGTTGATGAATCTGACAGATTGGTTGGTTAGCTCTTCTGTTCATGTGATCAAGCTTGGTACTTTTACAAGGGATTCGCACGAGAACATGAGTTTAGTGCATGTAAGGGAACAACATGGCTTGACGTGGAAAGGAATGTAAAGACACAAGAATTTTGTTGTTCCAAAGAAGGGTTTCGAGCATCAAAAGTCAATACTGCTAATCGTCAACGTGCTCATACGCCAGTCACAAGAACATGATGTAAGGCTAAAGTCGTAGTTACAACAACAAATACAAACGATCAGTGGGTTATAAGTAAGTCTTATCAGGAACATAATCATGCATTGTGCACACCTGCTATGACATCATTTATGCGTTCTAATAGAGCTGTAAGTAAGGCTGATATCGATGAGGCAACAACATTGAAAGAGGTCGGTGTTGGCACGTCTCAAGTAATGAACTATTTAACGCAGCATGCAGGGGGCTATCATAATGTTGGATTTACACATAAAGACCTCTACAATGCACTTCAAAGAGGTAAAGCAAAGGAAAAAATAGGAAATTTGAAATTAGTTTTGATTCTCGTACAGAAACCCTAATTTGATCCTGCAAAAAATTCGAGACCGTTGGACTTCCGTATCACCATCAACTTCACATTTTGAAGAACTTGGATTACACATATTTGCCCGAGACTTTGATTCAAAGTAGGTGGACTAATGATGCTAAGGCTTCTGCACCAAGTTATGTTGACTTGAATGTGTCTCCAGAAGTGTTGCAAATGGCACGGTTTGCTGCTCTACGTTCAACGTCAAGTAGGTTATGCTACATTGCATCAAAGACAGACGAGTCTTTCAAAATCGCAAGAGATGAGATAAAAAGACTAATAGAAGAATTAGAAAACTCGTTTGGTTTGAATGATTTAGTTAACCAGAGCATTGTAGTAAACAACGTTCGTGACCCTCAACGAAAACAATGCAAGCGAAAAGAAGTACCGAAGAACAAGGTTGAGAAGATAATTAGGCGATGTGGGTACTGCAACGGTGATGGACATAACAAACTAACATGTTCTCAAGTCAAGCTCAGTTTGAGTATAATGTAAATTATACAAAATTAACCCTATATTTACAAAATTTACTCTCTTAGTCTATTTTTATTGTAGATTACGAGACCGTTTAATATTTTATCCGCATCATCACATAAATGCCAAACAATCTGTAGAATATAGTCTCTCGCAATCATGTCCGGAATCAGTTTTGTAACTGGGATTATCCAGGTTAATCATGTTGACAGCATAGCCAATAAAACCTGAGGTTTTTCAACAAAGTGTCGATACATGTTGTATACATATTCTCTCATAAAACCCGGAGTGACTTTTGAGAATCGTAGCATACTGTCCAGGCGAGCAAATCAATAACCTAACAAAATTAATTGTACAATCAGAACATATTCAATAAGTTTTAACATTTTCTACTTTCTACTTACCACACCGCCAACCTATTCCGTAGGCTTCAACGTTGCAACGTCGTATACACTAGCGAATTGATTTCCCATTGAGATTACATAATATCTGTATGAATCATTAGGATTAATATATTGTCATGAAATATTTAAATATCACTCACAAAGCAATATATTTCACTTACCCCGATTCTAACTCACTATTCCATAAATAATTACAAATTGCAGCTTCGATGTCATCAATTCCGCTTGAAATATCCACTTTTTCAACCTACAATTTTACATACAATTTTTTGTCACAACAACATGATAAAGATCAAATTAAGTTTTCTTTTATTCAACTTATCTTCTGCTTCTTCTTCTGGGGTGCAGGATATTCCAAATCCAAATCTACTGCTATAACACTCTCCGGTGTATAAATGATATCGACTTCCTTCCTCCTCATTTCTTCCATCTTTTCTTCTTCCTCCTCCCTCTTTTCTTCTTCATATTTTTTTAGTTCATCGTATTTTTGCTCTACATAGCTCTTCATCTTTTTTATTTCACCCTTCAATTGATCTCCTTCATCCCAGTATTGATCAACCACCCCCTTCACCCCCTTAAGTTCACTCCTCAATTCCACAACCTCCTTCACCATTCCATCAAATTTTTTACCCGTCACCATCTTAAGATCACCCCTTAACACCTCAAATTGTTTCACCACTTCACCCCTCAAACCCTCTACTTCTTTCACCACTCCATCTATTTTTCCTTCCACTTCCCCCTTATGCCTCTCAAGTGTATCTTCGACTCTCTCAAGTTTTTCTTCGACTCTTGATTGTCTTTGCATGATATCAAATTGGATTTTTTTGATATCAACCAATTTAGACATCAAAACGTCGAAGTTACTTTGTTTTCCCTCACCATCATCCCCCAATACAACCATCTCTTCTTTTTTCTCCTCTGCCTCCACTGCCTCCTCCACCTCCTTGCCAATAACCTTCAAAATTAAATTACAATATTAAGACATTGATTATATTCTTAATATTATTTAATTACATTTATTACCCTTTCGTGCTTCCCGGTCTATCCAACTTCAACTTCAACTTCGCCATCACTCTAACCACCTCCTTCCCCCATGCACGGATACGTGCAACTCCGGCTCTTTCATAAGCCGACACTGCCTCACAGCCCGACCAAAAATCGAACAGTGCAACCTGTATTTATAATAAAATTCATAATTTTATATAATAACTATACTATCATTTTATATAAAAACACAAAAAAGTTCTTCAAGTCATTTACCTCTAAGATTGCTATACACCCTTTGAGGTATCTTTGGCTGCCATTTTTAAAGGTGATTATTGATTCAATCAATCTCGAATGGACATATTCAGCCCAATTGAATTCACCCTTCAAGCCTTCATCGCAAATGAGCTTCATATAGTCATTGTTCGTTGACGTATCACCCGTTAGACAAAAAAAGATACCGACAAGGTACTATAGAACTCTAGCTCTCATCTCATCCCCCCTGTAAGATCCACTTTTTATTTCCTCTTCAAGTTCAACATATGTCACCTTCTACTTCAAACCATATTTGGAGGCAAGTGATTTCCAGTTCTTACTCTTACAGACTTCTACAACACTTTTGCCTTCATTTTCTACCCCCAATACGGCTGCAGCACATGGGATCCTGAGAGGAAATGAAAAATCACCATACTTAGCAATACATTGTTTGAAATCAAATTGCGCTATCAAGGATCGACATAATTCCCTTCGAATAGGTCGATCCCTTACTCCTACCAACGATCCAAAACCTATTTCTCCCAGCACATTCAACTGACTCTTCTCCTTAAGGTGTTTAATTAATGAATTCACCCTTTTAATGTTGCACCTTGTCGACACTTCCTACATTTTTTAAAAATATCTAATGTTATAGTTCTTATATATTTTGTATCAACGTATTTACAAGTTTAATGAATACCTTATTTTCATGTGATTTCCTCCGTTCTTTGTATTCTTTACTATTATTTCTTGACTGTGTGATGTAAGATTCCTTTTCAGCATCACTCATCGAATTCCATTTGGACCTCACATCTTTTGTCACCTAATATTAAGCATAAACGTTTCTTAATCAATACATTAACACTTAATAATACTCACTGTTAATTTCATTTTACATACCGAACCGCTCTGTGTGCCATCTTCCTTCATCCTTTTGCATTCGGCCATACTGTCAACATTTAAAAGTTGTAATCAATTTAAAGTTCTTAAATACTTTAATCCAATTATCATTTCAACAATAATAACAAAAAGATATTGATACTTACTAGAAGTACATATATCCACCCTTTGGTTGCTTTCGAGTCTCGGCCTCAATTTCAAAGTCATCTGATCTACCAACAATTTTTCCACCCATTGACTCCATTTTTCCTTCATATATCAATTTACGCAAATCAAATCAAATACTTGTTACATACACTTTATTCAATAGACAAATATAGATAACCACTCTTGTGGTAAAACATTTTTCTTCAAAAGAATTTGAATGGCCACTACAAAATGTGTCGACACATTTATACAACCTATAATATCATTTTCTACCTATAATATTTAATAAAAGTATCGACATTTATATTTTACCTTGAATATCACTTTCTACCTGTAATCGGTCTCAAATGCTTCTTTACTCCAAAACCCCAAACAACACATAAAAACCCTATTTGCGATTACTGTAATAATAAAAAACTAGGGTTTCGACAACATACTTTTCGATTTGACTGCAGCAACAACAAACAAACTTCGCTTTAGAAACACCTTCTGAAATGCAGCAACAATTACGCTTCGATTTAAAAAACTCATATGTTCTATCTATTTTCAGAGGATATTTAGCTATGTCCTTTATATTTTCATCGGATATGTTATTTATATTTAATCGACACAACTACCAAAGTGTCGATACTTTTATGTCAGGTTTCGATACTTTCGAAAGGATAATTACGTATTTCTTTGAAATTATCGATAATTTATTACACGTACTTATTAAAGTAAGCGCTTTACCAGTTTTATCATTTTGATACCGGTTTTA